AACAGGCAGTTGCATTGACGTAAGAAGTAGAATGCCAGGAAATGTTGGAAGGAAGAGATGTTTAGTTGACTTGGAGTCCATTTCAGAAGTTCCATTGAGGAGGAGAACAAGCATAAGAGCACTAGCATCAGCAAGGGGGATCTCAAAATCAACAATTCACAATTGGGTGAAACGAGGTATTATTCGAAGTCACACTAATGCAATTAAGCCCCCACTTACTGATGCAAATAAGAGGCAAAGGATGATGTTTTGTCTGCAGCAGTTAGAAGAATCCAGTATCCCTTTAAACCCAACCTTCAAGAGTTTTAAAAATGTCTTGCACATTGATGAGAAATGGTTTTTTATGACAAAAACATCACAACGCTTTTATTTGACCCTCGATGAGGAAGAGCCATACCGAAGCTGTCAATCTAAGAGATTCATCACAAAAATCATGTTCTTAGGGGTCGTAGGAAGACCTATAATTTCTGATGAAGGTGAAGTCCTTTGGGATGGTAAGGTAGGGATTTTCCCCTTTGTGGAGTCTGTTGAGGCTAAGAGAAAAAGCAAGAACAGGGAAGCAGGTTCACTGGAAACCAAACCGATATCAAGTGTCACTAAACAAGTGTTTAAGGACATGCTGATACACACAGTCATACCTGCCATTCAAGAGAAGTGGCCAAACTTCTTAAGTAAGGAAATTGTTATCCAACAAGATAATGCAAGGCCACATATTCTTGGAAATGACCTAGAGTTTGTCATGGCAAGTACAACAAATGGTTTCCAGATTACCCTAACTAATCAGCCCCCTAGTTCTCCAGACCTCAACATTCTAGATTTAGGTTTTTTCAGGGCCATACAGTCATTGAAGGAACAATCAGCTCCAAGCAATGTAACTGAATTAATGAATGCAGTCCAAGAAGCATACAATCAGTTCTCAGCCCACACACTAAACAAAGTGTGGCTGAGTTATCAACATGTTATGCAAGAGGTGATGAAGGTTGAAGGGGGCAATAACTACAAAGTGCCACACATGGGAAAGGATGCTATGCACAGAAATGGGACACTTCCATATGTACTACAACTAGAAGAGGGTTTGTATGAGAGGAGTATGGCAGTACTTGGGGAACAAAATGGGCCAGCTGTACCTGTGGTTGAAACACATGAAGTCCTACTGGGTCAGTTCATTCTTGAAGAAGATGAGGAGATCATTCTTCAAGATTGAACTAACACCTAACAAAAGACTTTGTATCATTGTGGTTGTACATTGTTTTTGGGTTTTTGAATTTTGGGTTTTTGATTTTTGGGTTTTTGAACAAACAGCAACCACACATGTTTAATGTATTCCAACAAAGTAATGTATGGATTTCTTGTTACTCATCATTGCAGTTCAACTGA